GGAAAGCTTAGAGTGTGACATATCAGCTGAAGAGATAGCTGAGGCAATCAAACTTATGTAATCTGGAAAGGCCCCTTGTCCTGATGGATTCACCATTTTATATTATAAAACCTTTCCAGAACTCTTAATTCCCCACATGGTAAAATTGTTCAACTCTCATTAGACCGGAGGAAGATGCCGGAGGAGTCCTTGTGTGCACAGGTAGTCACTTTGCCAAAGCCTGGAAAAACTCCTGATAGGTGTCCTAATTTTAGGCCCATCTCTCTGATAAATAATGACTCAAAAATTTAATTTAAAGTTCTCGCAAATAGATTAGCTAAATTAATTTCTTTGATAATCAATAATGATCAAGTGGGTTTTGTAAAAGGCAGACAGGCACCAACTGGAACAAGGAGATTTATTAATTTGATCCAGCATATAACCAAAACGCCTTCTTTGCTTCTATCTTTGGATGCGGAGAAAGCGTTTGACAGGATACACCGGCAGATTCAACATCCCATCATCCTTTATTAATGCAATAAATTCCCTATACTGTGCCCCCACAGCCCATGTCTCAGCTTCTGGCTTTAAATCTCAAACTTTCTCTTGAACTAATGGAACAAGGCAGGGATGTCCTTTATCTCCGATTTTACTTGTTTTAGCTATAGAACCCGTGGCTGAATTGATCAGAACAACTCTGGAAATTGAAGATATAAATATTAAAGAATTCACTCATAAAATTGGCTTGTTCACTGATGATATTATTTTAGCAATGAATAACCCAAAATAATCTTTAAAACATCTCAAAGATATCCTAAATCAGTTCGGAGAAGTATCCTATTATAAACTAAACAAGTCCTAGACTCAGGCCCTTCAATTTCATATAAACCATTTAGAAGTCACCACCCTTAAGAGATTGTATTTATTTGATTGGAGAAATGAATATTTGGAATATCTAGGCATCAATTTATGCAAAAACATAGTAAATATGCATACCGATAACCTGGGGAAAGCGTGGCCAGTTGTACAAAGAGAGATGGAGCGGATGGAGCTCTCATGTTGGGGAGGGTTGCGTCTATTAAGATGACAATCCTCCTCAAGATTATGTATTATTGTAGGACCATACCCCTGTCTATCCCGTTATCTTTTTTCAATAAGGTTCATTCGGTAATGTTAAAGTTTATATAGGGGAATACAGTGCTTTGCAAAAGTATTCACCTCCCTTGACTTTTTACCTATTTTGTTACATTACAGCCTTAAGTTCAATGTTTTATTAATCTGAAGTGTATGTGATGGATCAGAGCACAATAGTTTAAGTTGGTGAAGTGAAATGAGAAAAATATATACATAAAACTATTTTTTAGAAATAGAAAACAGAAAATTGGCATAAACGTATGTGTTCACCCCCCTTTTTATGAAGCCCATAAAAAGCTCTGGTGCAACCAATTACATTCATAAGGCACATAATTAGTGAAATGATGTCCACTTGTGTGCAATCTAAGTGTCACATGATCTGTCATTACATATACACACCTTTTTTGAAAGGCCCCAGAGGCTGCAACACCAAAGCAAGAGGCACCACTAACCAAACACTGCCATGAAGACCAAGGAACTCTCCAAACAAGTAAGGGACAATGTTGTTGAGAAGTACAAGTCAGGGTTAGGTTATAAAAAAATATCCAAATCTTTGATGATCCCCAGGAGCACCATCAAATCTATCATGACCAAATGGAAAGAACATGGCACAACAGCAAACCTGCCAAGAGACGGCCGCCCACCAAAACTTAAGGACTGGGCAAGGAGGGCATTAATCAGAGTGGCAGCACAGAGACCTAAGGTAAACCTGGAGGAGCTGCAGAGTTCCACAGCAGAGACCGGAGTATCTGTAAATAGGACGACAATAAGCCGTACGCTCCATAGAGTTGGGCTTTATGGCAAGTGGCCAGGAGACAGCCATTACTTTAAGCAAAAAACAAAATGGCATGTTTTCTAGTTTGCAAAAAGGCATGTGGAAGACTCCTACAATGTATGGAGCTCTGGTCTGATGAGACTAAATTTTAATTTTCGGCCATCAAAGAAAACGCTATGTCTGGCACAAACCCATCACATCACCCAAAAAACACCATCCCCACAGTGAAACATGGTGGTGGCAGCATCATGCTGTGGGGATGTTTTTCAGCAGCCGGGACTGGGAAACTGGTCAGAGTTGAGGGAAAGATGGATGGTGCTAAATACAGGGATATTCTTGAGCAAAACCTGGACCACTCTGTGCAGATTTGAGGCTAGGACAGAGGTTCACCTTCCAGCAGTACAATGACCCCAAACACACTGCTAAAGCAACACTTGAGTGGTTTAAGGGGAAACATGTAAATGTGTTGGAATGGCCTAGTCACAGCCCAGACCTCAATCCAATAGAAATTCTGTGGTCAGACTTAAAGATTGCTGTTCACAAGCGCAAACCATCCAACTTGAAGGAGCTGGAGCAGTTTTGCAAGGAGGAATAGGCAAAGATCCAAGTGGTAAGATGTGGCAAGCTCATAGAGCCTTATCCAAAGCGACTTGGAGCTGTGATTGACGCAAAAGGTGGCTCTACAAAGTATTGTGAATAGTTATGCACCTTGACTTTTTCTATTATTTTATCCTATTTGTTGTTTGCTTCACAATAAAAAAAAACATCTTCAAAGTTGTGGGCATGTTCTGTAAATTAAATGATGCAACTCTTCAAACAATCCATGTTAATTCCAGGAAAATGCCAAGGGGGGTGAATACTTTTGCAAGGCACTGTATATCTAGCAGGATTAGGCTTACCTCCCTGCAGCATCATAAATCTGATGGCAGTATTGGTGTACCGGATATCTGAAAATATTATTTTGCTACAAATGCTGAAGTGGTTGTGAGTTTTAATAGTTTAGGCAATATGCCAAGATGGATGGAAATGGAAGAGTCAAAAATTCTCCCATTTAAACTCTCGGAGATACCTTGGGTGTGTCCTAAAAAAAGACCTAAAATTACGAAATTATTTTTATCAACTAAAACTACGCTCAGAGCCTATGGACATTGTTTTTAAGAATAATAGCCACACTATACGATTTTGTAGAGCAATGCCAATTGAATTATTGAAAGACCATATACCATCATTAAATATAGAATTATGGAAAAAAATAATCTATAACAAATTTAGACAGTTTTTTTATGGCAATGGCATTCTTTCATTTGAAAAATTGAAACTTAAGTATGGACTAATGAATTCCTCTGAATCTGAGTGTATGTTGATTATCGAAAAATTAAAAGAACTGTATAATGTATCCGAGACTAATAAAAACTATAGGTAACTAGAGATATCCACACTGGAAAAAGTCTTCTTATACGACCGAAACAGAAAGGGTAGAATATCTATGTGTTACTTGCTTTACAACGCCAAACCTATAGTTAAATTGAAACATATGGTGTCATGGGAGACCGAGTTAGGAGCACAATATGAGCTTGAAGAATTTTTTAGTTTCCTTAAAGCACTAAAAGGAATTTATTTTTGTACTGACCATTTTGAAAGATCATTACAAAATGTTATATCGCTGGTACCTGGCTCCGTCTAGACTGCTCGATATGAACAATATGTACTCTGACCGGTGTTGGAGAGATTGTGGGGGTATAGGAAATATGACCCATATATGGTGGTATTGTCCCAAAATAACTAGATACTGGAAAATGATTCACAACCTAATTGTCAAAGTGAATAGATCTATTGCAGGGCTGTCCAACCTGCGGTCCTCCAGATGTTGCTGAACTACAACTCCCATGATTCTGATGTAGAATTATTAAAATCTTTATTAGAACCTGTATTGAATTATTGTACTAACTCCATTTTGTTCACCTTACATGACAGAATTTCCTGACAGTATTCAGTATAATGAATAAGAGATTGTATTTTCTCTCTCTAAGGACATAACTAGCCCCGGAGTTAGCGGATCTCCGTTGACTTGCAACATAGTATAATCCAAGGCCAGGAGAACAGTGACAAAATGAAATGTTCTATTCATAAAAGAACCTTGGAACAGACCACGAGACTGACATCACTAACTACGTAAAATGACGCCCAAGCCCCCCTTTCCACCGAGTAAGCCTCGTGCTAAAGAGCAATGGCGACGACATCCCATGATGGGAGGGTGCCTCACTAGTCACTCAAATCTCTGAGCCAATTAATAATATTAATGGGTGGACACTGACATAGCCACTTAACATTTAACCCAATTAATGATGTTTATTTGTTATTATCTGATATTCAATGATGATGTCATTTTGCATATAAAAAGGCCTGCGTGCCCACTTTTTAACTAGATGCTAATAAATTTCCTGAAGTGTTTTTAACCTGAACTGCATGTGTCAGTGTGAACTTACTTCTGCGTATACGCAATTTATTCATCTCAGATTTGGACAGGAACAGATAGACTTTTAAACATTTTTGTTTATTTCTAAATTAATCTACATCAATCCCCTGGCTATCTGTTTCATTGAAAGAATCATGGGAGTTGTAGTTCATCAACATCTGGAGGGCCGCAGGTTGGACAGCCCTGATCTATTGGTATCTTAACCTCAGAACTTGCACTATAAAAAATTAAATTCCCGGGGGCGGAGCCGAACAGGCAAGCTAACTAGACGCACATTGCATGAGCTCCTGCAGTGTAGGCCCAAATTCTGCAGAAATCTGGAGATTAAGTGCTGTGATTTCCCCACAAACCTGCCTGTGAGCTGGGGGAAACAACCACAAACATGCCGGTACCTAACTTGAAGCCTGACTGGACCAGAAACCGCAGCGGTAAAATGAGGCCTAGTGAAAGTACGGGGGAAGGACGGCCGCCTTCCCACTGGATTCCAACTTCGGCACGCGAGTGCAAAACACGCACACCCCCCCTATGGACCGGTGGGGGATATCCCGGTCCCCGCCTGGCGGGCTATTCCGAACCCTGCACCAACAGACAAACATAAAGATCTCCATAAGAAACGAGGGGACGGGAGTGCCCAAGATGGCGGATCACTCCGACGCGACAGTGTCCGACAAGCGCCAGCGACCTCCAGATGCAGAGGACACCGGGGACCGCGCAAAAGATCCCATCACAATAATCTTTGACCGCTTCTGGGCCAAATTAAGGGCATGCTTACAGCCCGCAGTGCCCTACCAAACATCACCCATTAGGGTAAGAGCAAATGGCGGACGGGAGCATGGGAGTCCTCCTCAGGGCAACTTTAAGACCCTCGCATCAAATCCCTACATCTTAGGCCCTCCCGAGCTGAGAGCAAGAAGGGGAGTACCCCAGAGGCGCCGGCCACACAAGCGGAGAGAGGCAAGATGAACACCCAAGCGACCCAATCTAACTCCCCGCACCACCCCGAAAGGGCCGACCCTGGACCATGAAGGTTCCCAGGCTCGTGGCCTACGAGCGCCAGCTCTCCCACAGCTATGGGGAAGGAGAGGATTCCTGCAGCTGAGACACCGCGGCTCTGCACTAATGGGACGGAAGTGGTTGCCGGACCTGCAGCGACAAGACTCTCATCCTGGTACAAGCTCAAGGGAAAAACTCACTCCTCATCACTGCGGCCTTAAGTGACTGCCTGGATTTCCTCAGCCACACCAGACATGCGGGACTCTGCACGGCGAGGCAGCGAGGACAGTGACAGACAGGGCCGCCATCAGGGGGTGACAACCATAAAGGTTGTCACGGGCCCCACGTGTAGCGGCGGAACTGCCGCCGGTTCACTTGCACCGGCGCCCGCACGCTGATGGGGCCCATCAGGTGGCCTATATCTTCAGGGGCCCAGTCAGCGCTGTGGCCGTGGTATAGCGCGACCGGGCCCCTTTAAAAAAAAAAATGCCGGCGCTGCGCAAGTGCTGCTGGGAGGAAGTGGTCACTTCCTCCCAGCTCACTCCGTGCGGGAGGAGCGCGCGCCCGGCAATGAAGAGGGAGAGTCAGCCAACTCCCAGTCCCATTAGCCCCAGCCACCCTCCTGCAAAGACAAGGTAAGAAACAGGAGGGTGGCTGGAAAATGAGCTCTGTGTGTGTATGTCTATGTCTGTATGTATGTATGTCATTATGTATGTATGGATATCAGTGTCTGTATGTCTGTCTGTATGTATGTTTTTGTCTGTGTGTATGTATGTATGTCATTATGTATGTCTGTCTGTATGTCTATGGATGTCTGTATGTCTCTATGCATGTCATTATGTGTGTATGAATGTCAGTGTATGCATGTCTGCATGTCATTATGAATGTGTGTATGTATGTCTGTCTGTCTGTATGAATGTATGTATGCCAGTATGAATGTATGTCTGTATGTCATTATGAATGTGTGTATGTATGGATTTCAGTGTCTGTACGAATGTATGTATGCCAGTATGAATGTATGTCTGTATGTATGTCTGTATGTACGTCTGTATGGATGTCAGTGTCTGTATGTATGTTTATGTCTGTGTGTATGTATGTATGTCATTATGTATGTCTGGATGTCTGTCTGTATGTCTTTATGGATGTCTGTATGTCTGTATGAATGTCTGTATGTCTGTATGCATGTCATTATGTGTGTATGAATGTCAGTGTATGTATGTCTGCATGTCATTATGAATGTGTGTATGTATGTCTGTCTGTCTGTACGAATGTATGTATGCCAGTATGAATGTATGTCTGTATGTCTGTATGCATGTCTGTATGTCTGTATGCCTGTGTGCCTGTATGTATGTCATTATGTGTGTATGAATGTCAGTGTATGTATGTCTGCATGTCATTATGAATGTGTGTATGTCTGTCTGTATGAATGTATGTATGCCAGTATGAATGTCTGTCTGTATGTCATTATGAATGTGTCTGTATGTCCTTATGCATGTGTGTCTGTATGTATGTTAGTATGTGTCTGTCACTATGTATGCCTGTGTGTCTGTATATGTGTGTATGTCTCAGTATGTGTGTGTCAGTATGTATGCTTATATGCGTATCATTATGTGTGTGTGTCTGTATGTTAGTATGTGTCTGTCACTATGTACACCTGTGTGTCTGTATATATGTGTATGTCTCAGTATGTGTGTGTCAGTATGTATGCTTATATGCGTATCAGTATGTGTGTCTGTATGTATGTTGCTACGTGTCTGTCACTATGTACGCCTGTGTGTCTGTATATGTGTGTATGTCTCAGTATCTGTGTGTCAGTATGTATGCCTATATGGGTATCAGTATGTGTCTGTTAGTATGTATCAATGTGTGTGTGTGTATCTGTGTCCTTTTGTATCAGTGAATGTGTTTGTGTCTGTGTGTGTATTCCTGTGGGCGGGATTTGGAGAAGGTCTCTGTGGGCGGTTTTGGAGGCCGGCCCCCAGGGGCCCAGACCCTGAGTTCAGTTAGGGGCCCCAAAATTTCTGGTGGTGGCCCTGGTGACAGATTACCCCCAAGGACGATACGGACCTACCAAGCCGGGGCATCGGCTGACAGTGCCACATGCTCCCAAGTGAGGTACCCGTGCCCCCCTCAGGACTTACTGCTGTATTCCAGCCGTTGATACCCAGGCAGACAATATTGTCAAGTTACTGCTAAAGTTCTGCCAGCCACAAGGGACTAGGGTCATATTAAACAGGGGTATCTTTCCCATGTTCTATGTTGGCAAGGAGATATCCCTAACATGTCTAATACTGGCAAACAATGATCTCCTTTATTTGTTTTTAACTGGCAACCAGTGATATTTTTCATATGTTTTACAATAGCAACAAGTGACATTTTTATGTGTTATATTGACAACTAGTGATGTCTTACAAATGTCTTGTACTGGCATCCAGTGACAGGCTATGTTATGTTACATTGTTTTTACTTACTACAACCTAGCCTGTGATTAACCATCGCTACACGTTACTATTGCAATCTGTGGGCACTCCTTCCATGAATTAATCTGATTGTAGACCCAGCCTATGGAAAAGTATAATACACATAAAATGTATTGCTAGCATGTAAGCATGGCTCATTTCACTTTAACCCTTAACAAACTTTATTTACCTCCTACCAGCGGAACATAGATCAGCCTGGTAACTCTTTTTGTTTAACACTCAACTTATTCTGACTTTCAAAACAAAAATGTGCAAAACTTCCAACTGCCATACCAATGTTAAGCTATGTTTATATATTTGCTGGCACCAGCTGTCGTGGCAGTGCAAACATGTTTGTTCTCTCAATGCACAAATAAAATAAAGATTTATAAATTAAAAAAAAAAAAAATTCCCATAGCCCGTCAATAGAACAGATAAAATAATAATAGGCCACATACTGATTGCTGCTGCCTCATGCTTAGCACGTTATTGGAAATGCAAAAATGTACCATCACTTAAAGACGTTTTAAATTTAATCTTAGATAATAAAGCACACAAACTGTCATATAGGGAAATTATGCATTCATTTACAAAACTAAAATGTGATTGAGATAAATGGGAAAAAGAAATTAAAACAGTTTATTGTTTATAAAATTTATTTATTGTTAAACTTTATCATTGAACAATTACTGTTCATTTACATCATTTTAAATTTCATTACATACTATTAAAATGGTTGGATACCCTTTTCCACTTCCAAGTTCCCCTTACCTTTCCTACCCTGAATAGAATGTTTGCCTATTCATTATAATTTGTTGAAAAATTTCTAAACTTTAATAAAAAATATTTGAAAAGGAAAATACAGGGACTGATAGTATAGTAAGTCGTTTTGGTGGTGGGAAGGAAAAATAAGATGAACACTTTTCTGGAGTTGTAAGTAAGTAAGTGTATGGATGTACAATCACATGTTCTGGAGCCTAGCAGTGGCTCCTGCGGCATAGCGTGGAGTGCTATGATCTCCACTCTGGAATATTGCCTTGCTGCAGAGGGATTTAGATAGATTGGGGGACTGGGCACTAAAATGGCAGATGAAATTTAACGTGGAGAAATACAAAGTTTTGCACTTTGGGGTCAAGAATGCACAAGCAACTTAATCCCTAAATGGTAGTGAATTAGGGATTACCACACACGAGAAGGATTTGGGAATTGTTATAGACAACAAATTAGGCAGCAATATGCAATGTCAATCTGCAGTTGCTAAGGCCAGTAAGGTTTTGTCATGTATAAATAGGGGCATAAGTTCTTGGGATGAAAAAATACATTTCATTTTGCCTCTTTATAAATCGCTGGTAAGACCACACCTGAAATACGCTGTGCAATTTTGGGCACCTGTTCTAAAGAAGGATATCTTGACACTCGAAAAAAGTGCAGAGACGAGCTACAAAATTGATCAAAGGTATGGAGCATTTTAGTTATGAAGAAAGGTTAAAAACTTAAAATCTCTTTAGTTTGGAAAAACGGCACCTCAGAGGGGATATGATAACATTATACAAATATATCTGGGGCCATTACAAACCATTATCTGGAAATCTATTCATAAACAGGGCTATACATAGGACACAAGGTCACACATTTAGACTGGAAGAAAGGAGATTTCATCTAAGGCAAATAAAATGTTTTTTTACAGTAAAAACTATAAATATATGGAATTCTCTGCCTGAAGAGGGGTTTTTATCAGAGTCTATACAGATGTTTGAACAGAAATTTGATAAATACTTGCAAAAACATAACATAGCTGCTTGATCCACGGAGACATCTGACTGCTATTTTGGGGTCAAGAATAAATGTTTTCCTAGTTTGTTGCAAAATTGGGCAGTGCTTCAGATTGGGTTTTTTTTCCCTTCTTTTGGATCAACAGCAAAAACATATGTGAGGAAAGCTGAACTTGATGGACGCAAGTCTCTATTCAGCTATGTAACAATGTAACTCTGTAATATGTAGGTGATGCAGGTCCTCTCTGTATAGGTATAATAAGAGAATAAAACAGTGTAGTGCACACCATAAAATTGAAGTGTAAAAAAAAAAAAAAACTTACTTTCATTGACAGGAGCAAATACGGTTTACTTAGTCCTCGGTGCGTAGGTGGTGTTTTTACTCGACTGGAGAAGAGAGTCATCAACTACTCGCTGCAAAATCTACTCGCTGCAAAATCTCGTGGTCACTACTCTATCCTAATTCTCCTTGACCTGTCTGCGGCTTTTGACACTGTTGATCATCAACAGCTTCTTCTCATCCTCCGCAATATCGGTCTACAAGATATTGCTCTCTCCTGGTGCTCCTCCTACCTCTCCAGCGCTCTTTCAGTGTTTCTTTCTCTGGCTCTGCTTCTTCTCCCCAACTCCTCTGTTGGTGTCCCCCAAGGTTCAGTCCTTGGTCCCCTACTGTTCTCCATCTATACTGCCTCCCTTGATAAACTCATTAGCTCCTTTGGCTTCCAATATCATTTCTATGCAGATGACACGCAAATCTACCTGTCCTCTCCTGATCTCTCCCCGTCCCTCTTGACTAGTGTCTCTGACTGCCTTTCTGCTGTTTCTAACTGGATGGCTGCCCACTTCCTTAAACTAAACTTGACCAAAACTGAAATTCTGATCTTTCCTCCCTCAAGTGTTGTTACTTCTGTGTCTGTCTCCCTCCAAGTCAACGGTGCTACCATCAGCTCCACCACACAGGCTTACTGCCTAGGTGTTCTCTTTGACTCCGACC